CCCCAAAACCCCAAAACCCCAAAACCCCAAAACCCCAAACAGATACCATATTGGATCAAAATATTTAAAAAATGGAAGCCTTGGACCCTTGTAAAACTTATGAAAGGTGGACAATAGAGGATGTATGAAGTTGGCTTGAGAACACAGTTTCTTTACCTCAATATAAAACTATCTTCGCTGAACTAGCAATTGATGGGTCACTTCTTCCTCATATTCTTGATGATGACTTACAGAATGATTTTTCTATTAAAATCAGGCTACACAGAATTAAGATAATTGAAGCGATCAAGAAGCTAAATGTAAGTGGAGTTGTTTCAATTCCGATTCTTAACATGATGTTCTGATAATTCTTATAAAAAATGTTGATCAGCTTAAAACATCAGCTAAAGGTTAATATTTGAAATCAGAAATGAATGAATTCGCCTATCTCTTCTAGTTATGAAACTTTTCATGGGCCTTCTAAGTTATTAGTATCCTAAAACTATGTTTGCCTGGTTTAAATAAGCAATTATCTGTGATCAACCATAATCTTCTTTCTCCTAAAATTCTTCTACTCAAAAATAATTAAATGTACAGAGTGAATCCCGTAAAATAGAGGAAGAATTTGCTTCTAAGTTAAATATTGGGGATCAAGATATCCATTCTGAAGAAGAAAAAGAGAGTAAGTATTTCATCTTAATGCTCTGTTATCGAAGAGTCAGATGAAGACTTGCAACGTCTGAGGGATCATGAAGGCAGGGTTACCCCCGATAGAGATGAAGAAGATTTTCAGGTTACTAATATGAGTACTTCACTGTATCCATTACAAGGAGACGGTAGAAACCCTGCTATTGAAGTTATAGGGATTAGAAATAATCCCTCTGATCAATTTGCTAATGAAGGTGAAGAGGGTAATCAGATTTCTGAAGATCAAGAGGACAAATTAATTATTATCTTGAAAGTAGTTGAAGGACAACAGCTAAACAATGTTTACCTCATTGGACAACAAGGTGCAAGACTTGGGAGACATAGCGCTTCAAATGATATTGTGATTTCTGAATCATTCGTTTCAAGAAAACATTGTGAAATTTCCCACCAAGATGGGAGCTTCTACCTTAAAGACTTAGGAAGCACCACAGGTTCTTTTCTTATGATTAGAGACAAAATAACTCTTGGGGAGGGGATGATGTTTCAAATGGGACTAAGTGAATTCAAAGTCACAATGCTAAGCAAGAACATGGAACTTAATATTTTTGAAGGTCCTTCAAGAAACCAGAGAATTCTTGTCACTTCAACTGGACTTCAAATTGGAAGAGACCCAGCAAATACTTTTTGAGTTGCAGAAGATACTCAGATGAGTAATTTCCATGCAAAAGTTCAATTTGATCCTTCAACAGGAACTTATGTTTTAGAAGATGTAGGGTCAACTAATAGGACTTGGCTTAGGTTAAGCAATGAGGGAGAACGCAGTACAAATCATGAGCTAAGTCTAAGCGATATTATTAAAATTGGTTCAACAGTTTTTCTCGTTCAGCAAATAAGAAAAGTATCAGATTCAGGAAATATGCCAATTATAAATAGCAATCACCGATCTATGAACCTAGAAATATCAGATTGAGACTATCAGAGCAATAAAGAGCTGATCGATTCTTTACAAGAACAAGAAGCTCAACTAAGTCCCTCCAAGAATAAATCAAATCTTTGCAGCATATGATATACCAGAACTGGAAACATCGCTCTAATCACATGCGGGCATTCAAATTTCTGCTTTTACTGCTCTGAGAAATTTTCTGACTGTCCAGTATGTAGAGCTCCAATCATAGCTAAAATAAAGATCTTCAAGTAAATTCAACTCTATCTCTTCAACCCGGGGTTTTGGGGTTTTGGGGTTTTGGGGTTTTGGGG